ATTGTCAGTTTGATTCACCAAGGAAATGGTACTCTTGGATTGGATTTCCTCTTCCTCGCGTGGAGAATTAGCTTATGGGTTTAAATCCCATTTGCTTGAGTTGATTAACCAAGGAAAAATTGTACCCTGGATAATAGCTTGGTTCGGCACTAGCTAGATACTTAGTATCAGACAAAATAGAAGATAGGAGGATCCCAAACTGCACAACATTTTCTTTTGGATCACAATTTGTGCCCTAGTTAGCAAAAGAGGAAGAAAAGAAAAGTTAAAAAACCTCGTTTGTTTCCTCGTCTGTTAAAAATGTGAAAACATTGAGAACTTTGGTTGAAATTGAGCATATGGAACAGGACGTAAAGTAATATACAACAAAATAACCGGCTATGTATGCTTCTCCAGATCCGCCCTTTCAGTACTTACAAGGATGAACTGGAAAGGTGTACCTTCAACTTCAAGTTGCTAGTTAAACTCCGGTGACGTATAAGCTAGCCGCAAATACAATATCACGCTTTATCGCATTTGAAGCAGTTTCCATTTTCTTGTACAGAGCAGAATTACCCATAATAGATGCAGCATTTTTGAACTCACGGCATGTCTCATCAAGTCTGACAATGGTCCGCACTATCATGCCTTCAGGAACATCTGTAAGTTCACAAATATCTGCAAATGGAGTGCCCTGCAATTATAAGGGCATGTAAGACCAACCACTCCAAAAATCATAGGAAAAATTCATGAAGTTATAAGATGAAAACCTTTGCCCACTCATAAACGACTTCAATAAGACCAAACTTGAGATTCTCTCGGGCATACTCCTCCGGATTTATTTGAACTTTGAAGTGGCCTTGAAGCTCGCCCAGTCTTTTTGCTGTGTTGTACAATCTGAAATGATAAATATCCGAAATGAGTTTATTCTGGCAAGGAAATCAGATTTCTTATTATAATCTTTTTCTCACTTTGTCCTAGTGTATAATTAAACTAGGAGGATTATAATACAGAACAAATTTCTTTAACGACAATTCTGGATATGCATGGATGTAGGCAAAGTATTTGATTAATCTGTGCCAGGGACCCAGGACACACTGAGAAGTGAAAATTCTAGGTAACATAGTCTGATGGACTAATAGGGCCAGACCTAGTGGTCGATTGTAGACTCTAAGTGTAAGCATAAAGTATACTACCTAAATCCTATGCACATATTTTGTATTAAAAAAGATATTTAAGTATGGAATTTGGCATAGAAGAAAAATTTGTACGCAGAAGATGGGAGAGAACCTTTGTTTCGCCTGAGACAGGTTTGGAGTAAGAGAAGGTTCGGAAGTATTCTTCTGCTGAAACACAAAGGCAGACATTAACGCCACAGCTTCTTCTGGTTCCAGGTCATCCAGTTGGTTCTCAAACAAACACTCTGTGCATATCAACTCCTCCCCTGAATTCATTTCGCACGCAACACGGCCTTTTATTTGAACAACAAGGTCGGCATCTATACATCCAATTTCCTTCAGAACATCTATCTGAAAATATGCAATTAAAATACCAAGAGGAATCATAAGTATTAAGCCAAAGAAACTTAGAAAAACACATGGTTATCATGGACATGTACCCGGCCTTGAAAATCTGGCATTTGTTGCAGTGCTTCATCTGACATTTCATACTTTAGAGCATTAACTTCCTCTTTGTGTCTCTTTATCTCTCTTGCTAGCATAATGTGCTCCTCCAACTTTGAACAACCATGGCACTTATTCTCTGCCATCTTTTGCAATAAGTTAGTCCACTTGTAGTATTTTTCCACAAGATTCACATCTCTCAACTTCAGATCTGAACCAGAGTCACCACTATGAAGGTCAGCTTAAAGAGTGAGTTAAACTCTATAATTCTCAATTGATCCAAGTCTTCAGCACATTCTAACAAGTAATGTGCACATAGAAGTTATTATGTTAGTAGGCTTTATCAACAATAGAATTCTTGAACCTAACAGAAATAATCGAACAGAAAAGAGAAAGTAAATGGGACAAACGAATATCGAATTGAGTGGAAAGTCAGGAGCTCAGATTTCCAACGGTATAATAAAAGCATCCACAGAATGAATGCATCACAACTCTATATAGTTGCAATCAAGGGTATATTAATCTAGGATGAATATAATTTATAATGATACAACTGGACTTTAATTTCCCAAAACCTTTAATGTTTTATTTAGACTGACAAATAGATATACCTTCTATTGGATCTAAGGCTGGAGGGTACTTATTTCCATTGGATTTTGTGTCCAACAGCTGTTGAACTGTCTTGGAGTAAGCAGGACTGCTACCGTCTTCAAGAAGCCGAACTTGGTCAATCTTTATCTTGCAATTGCATATGCATAAAAAATCCTTGTTATCGACTTCTCTAACCTCAAACCTTACCCCAGCAGCAGAACCCTGGTGTGGTAATTTTATGTTGATGACACCCGATCCTTTGCGAGAAGTGACGCCAGAAAAATAATCTTCTTCAATAGCACGTTTAGATTTTGGTGCCATGAAATAACCTTGTGGAAAATCGGTGTTTTTACTATCTTGCAAGTTACCACTAGCCAGGGGAGTTTGTAATTCAGGTTTCAGCACTAAAACAATGTATTGCTTATTACTAGAAGAAGGTGCTCTCACAACGACTCCAAGCAAGTGGTCCTGGGCCTGTTGGTAAGGCATGATACACGTTAGCATACCCTCAACTACTCTAACAAAGAACCAGATAAAATATCAATGAAAAAATGGAAGAGTCTACTTGTACAGTTTAATATGAGAAAGAGACACCATGGTAGATGCAGATACCAACATATCATACTTATGTGAGGACTAGAAACCACCAAATCAGCACCAATCAAACATATCACTGGGGAATCAGGACTCCCTTTAACTTCAGTTTCAAGGGTGAAGGGAGGGAGAGTGAGATGTCACAGGGAAATATCTCGATTAACCCTCGAAGTTTCTAAAACTTGCCTTTTCTGTTATCAATCATTTCATTTCCAATGTAAAAATGATGAGTTCTGAGTTATTTATTTATTAAAATTGGTTACCAATTTGTTCTCTAGGCTCAAGCTATGGAATAATACTCAGATTACAATTTATGATGATCTTCCATGCAGGCTGTAGGATCATGTCTCCTGATTTTTGCATAGAAGTTGTCATTGAAGACTCCAGCTTTGGGACGTTTAAGGGAATTAAATTGGGTGATTTGTTTGAAGTCGGGGCTAAATTATCACTAAGAAATAGAAAATATTAAAGTCCAAGTCTTATTCTAATTACAATATTTCATTTTTTCTTAACACATTAATAATCAACCCACCATCAGAGCACATCATTCCTTTTTTTTTCTTTTCTTTTTTTCAATGGGTAGACATCAGATGCCCGCATATTACGAGCATCTCTACATATCATGTAAAATAAAAGAATCACCCATAGTCATGCAGGAAAGCAATCATACCTATTAGCACAGAACAATAATCAGAAGAGTAATACTACAATTTGATCCTGAGGGAGGAAAAAGCAGGGAAATAAAAAAACAAACAATTTAGGATATGACTGGAATTAATGTGTAAACCATGTAAGGGACTTACTGATTGTGATTTCATGACTACCACTCTCCCAGCTGTAAGAAATTTTTGGGCAACAGTGGACTGCATAACTGCCTCCAATATTTCCTTCCTATGTGTCTCAGCTTCTGAGTACATGTCATAATACTCCTCAATAGCTGGTTCACCTTTTATGCATCTACATGGAAATAGTCATGCAGCATCAAAAATAGAATTGCAGCATATTTGATGAAAGGCAAAACATAACATCAAAAATAGAATTGCAGCATCTAACAAGTAATAACTTCCATTTACCAAAGTGTCTTAGATGATGCTTTGACAATTAATGATTATCATGGAGAAGCATAGACCTTATACATCAACTGAACTGACAGCCCATCATCAATTGCTTAAAAGAAAAGAAAAAATCAAATTTTTATATCATTCAAAAATGCTAATATGCTCTTACAATTTACAAGGTCACAAATGCTATTGTTAGATGAATACGCACTGATAGCAGCAATATCCTCATAATGAGATAATGATATATGAGCCTAAGCCAAAATCGGCATGATTCAAACACAACTATTTTTATGTAGCACTTGGTTAACAGTCTTTAAAAGTTTTAAAGCCTGCATTCCTAACAAAGAGCTATAGCCACATTTAGTAGGTTACCACTGGATTGAATATATCACGTAACATATAACATGTGTCCTGACATATTATACAGATAAGTAATAATCATGACTCTGCCATTGACCTACTCAATAGTTTTTGTAGGTTGTGCAAGCTTTCGCATAAGAAGTTGCTGCTGTTCTGGTAGTTTCTTCTGAGCATGGAATTCCGCAAAACTTCTTTTCAGCATGTCCTCCACCTGCAGTGACAGTCCCAATGCACTCACTAAAACTGCAGAGCTAAAACCTTAACTTGTACTTATGATATGAAAAGTAGACTTGTATTCTTCACAAACACAGAATTAATTAAAAGGAACCACCAATATAATTTTTCGTTTTGAAAAACAAATATACTTTTACTATAAAATTAGCCTTTGTTGATAGAATACTGTGACAATGGGGTTAAGATGCAGAAGCCATTCCATCACTCCATGGACCCAAGATTGTCATTATAAATGCAGCCCCAGAAACACCCAAGGGTTTTGTTACTTCTCCTAGTGAGCCTCAATCAAATATTAATCTGCCCCAAAAAGGATTGTATTTTCACCACAGGTTATAAAAAAACATTTGTTTAGCTCCCCATAAAACTAAAGATGTTAAGGATGAACAGTAAGTATTTATCCAAATCGACATGTACAAAGATGTAGGTTTTATTTTTAGCTCCTACAATTTGGACACGTACTTCAATTTTTGAAATTATTGATCTGCAATCTATTTTCTTTTCCCCTATTTATATGAACGGAGTTGAAGTGAAGTAACTAGGCACCTTCAGTTCCTCAACACGAAGGAGATGCAAGATCATAATATAGGTTAGCCGGAACTGAGATTCAAGCCTGGTTGCACTTCCAACTATGACATGCTTTAAATCTCTTTCTTCTAGGATTTCATCACGGCACATTACAATAACTGTACCAATTTTATCAAGTCCTCTTCGGCCTGCACGGCCTGCCATTTGAGTGTATTCTCCTGGCAGTAATTGTCTAAATTCCTTGCCATCAAATTTCCTTAACGTATCAAAAACAACCTGCAAAAAATATTGATGAAAGTTAGAATTTAAGATAGCAATGTTGTATATGCAACTAAAGAATAGCGAACAGGTAAGAAGATGCCTTGTCAGCTGTCAGTAACACATCTGTCAATTTACAAGATATTTTAGTGGCAAATTTGAAATATTTTTGAATACTGAATTTCATCAATACAAACAAACCACAACTAGTACAGGATGTGAAGTGAATTTGCAGAAATCTATAATATGTTTAGGGGTCATAGGCCATGCCGTTTCTCATTCTAGTGAAGTAATGAAACATAAAACTCAAGTTTGAAGTCAATACCATCAACCAAATCAATTCAATGGCAGAATCAAACTAAAGGAGCTCTTCCACGTGACTGCATTATAAGATGTCAAAATAGAAGCTCTAACAGGTGCAGCTTCAAATTAAGGAAATAAATTATTCAATCAACAAATTGGCAGACACTTGTCCCATCAGAACTATTTAGTAGGACTTTTTTCTTTTTATAGTTTTGCAAGACTGGTCGATGTTAATCAATTGAGAATTTAACAGTAGGAAACTAATGCAACAAAAGAATTCTGAAATATGTACCAAATAAAGAAAACCACCAAATTCTTGATATTGTAGCAGAAATTATACTTCAATTTTGGAAAAACTGCCTAACAAAACTCACCGTTCTAGCTGGTGCATTGACTCCCATTGCAAATGTCTCTGTTGAGAACAAAACCTACAAAATAACAGAGATAGTCACTAAAAAGTTATTAGATCTAAATTCTAAAATGACCATTAGAACTCAATGACATGTGAAAATAACAGAGAAAATTTAACTCTAATGATTATTAACACAAATATGCAAACTATTTGCAATGTCACTGTTAACATCTAAAGATCATCAACGGTAACTGGAGTATCATTTTGAAAAAAAAAATATGAATGTCATGACACAGAAATAACCCAGAAGTAAAATACCTTGATTACACCACGACAAAAAAGCATTTCAACAACTTCCTTAACAATTGGAAGCAGTCCAGCATGATGGACACCAATCCCTCTATGAAGAAGGTTTTGAACTCTGACAACCTGTACATCAAATCATATTATGTCTAAGGCCCAAAGTTATTTTGTTAATTAAAAAGAAATAATTAGCATGTGACCGAACCTGTGGTAAAGTCCTGTCAGATCCCTTTAGCCGCGAAAATGCTTTATCACAGAACACACGAATCTCACTTTTCTCAGAAGTACTTGTGAGGTCAATCCCATACATGCTATCAGCTGACTTATCACAGCGATTCTTTGAGAAACAAAATATAACCACCTAGGCAGACAAGTCAAGGAATTGAGATCAAGATTACAGAATTATTACAAGAGAATGTAATACTAACACAGGCATTTACAAGATAAAGCAACAACTCTCTGGTTCCAAAATATGAGCCAAACTTCTAATCTTTGCATGGACAATTAACAACAGTTCCATAGATACTTGAACTCAAAACATGGAGGAGACATAGTTATTTTCCCTGTTAAATATGACAACGACCAAGAAAACACATTTGGTGGTGTCTTCCTCTTATTTGTCTAAATTTATTTCTCAATTTCGGTAGATAATCTCAAATTTAATATTTTTTCCCTTTTCATTTCTATTTTATTTCATAAAAGAAAAAAAAAACACTGCACAATTAATTGTCGTAGGAAGTTGTATTATTTCCATAAATTACCAGAACCAAATAAATTTAAAGCGACAGACATGCACAATAAGGAATTATATTCAAACATACAGGTAACAGAGACTTCTTCGAGAGCTTGTTAATAAGTGACAGCCACAAAGAGGCATCTGATCTCCTTAAACCCCAATTGTTCATGCCATTTCCATTGTTTTGATTTGCTCCACCAGCTTTGGAGAAATTCCCCGAATTTTGGGGACCAGATTGCTTCTTTTGTTTTCCCCAGTTAGAACTTTGTTTTTGAGTTCGAGCCCCATCATGAGAAGCTGAAGCTGGAGCATGTGATCCACTACCACCAGTGGCAGCACTCATATTCTTTTTCTTGAATGCATCTTTTGCAGCTTTGAACCCCTGGGGAATAAAGCTTTCACTTTCACATATTTTGTAAAGTTCTCCGGAGTAAAATAGGCAGTGCTCCAATGGGACTGGTCTTTTTGTAGTCCTGATATCAAAATTATACCCCCAAATATGAAAATAATGTAAATAAGTTGACAACAAAGCATTACAAACTCCCTTTCTGCCACATTCTTAGAAGAATGAAGAGTAGGCAGTGATAAAAACAAATCAGGATAGTTTTAATTGATTTGAATTGACTCAAAAGAACAAAAGAAAGTTAAATCCATATGCCACACAGATTCATGCTTACCCAGTAACACGGATTTTCTTTTGCTTTGTCCGTCCAATCCAGTCAGCGAACTCCACTTTGTTTGGTACCTACGAATTTACAATTAACACGTAATGCAATGCATCTGCTGCTGCAAACAAAAAATAAAAATAACGGGGCAGGGGAAAACAAAGACCAACTGCCCACATATCGAATGCACAAGTATCTTTACAGAAGCTGCTTAGTAATAGAACAGTTTTGCCATTGTTTTCAAGGAATGCTTTTAAAAGATATAGACAATTCAAGGAAGGCTTTTAAAAGATATAGACAACGGAGCAGATCCCAAGGCAAGGTAAACTAGCTATTCCACCTGCTACCAAAGTTTCGATAATAGTTAGGTACTAGATACAATGACATACAAATTCCATAGCCCAGGCAATATAACATCAGAAAACAACAACGATAATGGGCAGTGCTTTTATATTTGCATGGAAAATACAGGTTGCTTAGCATCTTCTGACTCAAAAATACCAATCTTGCAGCTGGAATCATCACTCTTATTATTTGGTCGAAACTCTTTGCTATCTTTCCTAAAAGACCTAATCTATAACTTAGTCTGTCAAAGAAAACACTATAGTAATCAACAAATTTAAATCTATATACTTTTGGATAGAACAGATAAATAATCATAATTCATATTTGCATTATTTGTTTCAGATCGAGATCATGAATAATATCAGGAAAAAGGAAATACCGTAGCTGAAAGGAGGACAATATTGATGTGTCTTGGAAGCATTATAATAACTTCTTCCCAAACAACACCTCTTTCGACATCATTGACATAGTGCACCTCATCAAAGATAACCTATATTCTCTCACATGCAGAAAGAGTAACAAAAATATTTTAGTAATTTCCTGAGGAAAAAAAATGGCAACTGGGAAAAATAAATACAATGAAGAAATTAACCTATAAAAGGAGGAAAATTACTGTTCAAAATATTATCACAGAAAACGAGCCCCTTTACCCATTCAATATCACGTATTATGTCAGCACCGCGATAAAGCATTGACCTCAAGATTTCCGTGGTCATAATAAGACAAGATGCCTCTGGCCTCAAGCTAACATCACCAGTGAGAAGTCCAACATCAAATTTTCCACAGAAATCTCTATACTTTTGATTGCTGATGGTTTTAATAGGAGCAGTATACACAGCTCTGGTGCAATGCTGCCCAACATTAACATAAGGGATTTAATTAACAAATAATCAAATATAAACGAGTAAAAAGAACCATGAGCTTAAGAATTTAGGCTGTACTTTTGATGCTAAAGCAAATGCGTATTCTGCAACAACAGTCTTTCCAGCTGATGTGTGAGCAGCAACAAAGACAGAGTCCCCCTTTTCAAGATAATAAATAGCCTGTAAACATATCACAAAGGAAAGGTTATTTGGGCATAAAAAAACAGAATTTTCGAAGCCACTCTTTAAGATAATAAATACAAAAAACTTTGTACACTACAACAGTGAAAGAAAAGTAGCAAAACTATTCGCTCATGAAGGATTTTTATGTGTAATTTTTTGTTGTTGACAAATCCCACAATTTACTGTGACATGAAAATTCTAATGACAGTTATCATGATATCTAGATGCTGTAAAGAAGAGATAAAGATGTTAAGGCAACCTTCTCTGGTGCTAATGGTGAAAATGAGGATAATGTATCTGAGAATCTACACAACTGTTAAATTTTTAACCTTCTCAAGAGCACTAACGATATAACCCACCCAACAACATGCACATATATAGTCCTGTTCTCTACATTACAATAATGTACAGCACACTTAACCATGCTGACATCATTGTGCAGTCAATGCAACCAATGTCTTGGGACATGTCCAACGTCCCACATTTGAAATTTATGGCGAGTGTAATGTTCATGTTTGTAAATCAACTATTGATATTTTTTTTTTCCATCATTGTTAATGAATCATATCAGTGAAAGGGACATGAGCCAAACTACAAGCCAAGGAAAGCCATGCATAGAAATTTAAAGTCAAAATATATGTCAGCGTTTTACCTCTCTGAACAAATCATTGTTTAAAGATCTAATCAATCTACTCATGTTGGCCCAGAAAATAAAAATAAAAATCAATCTACTAATGGAAACATTGCAGAAGAGGGTTTGGATTGACCGATACCTCCTTCTGGAATTTATCCAATTCAAAAGGAAAATCAAGTGCCTTGTCAGGAATAAGATCATGAAAATTCTCTGCAATCCGTTCTGTACCTCCACTGATAGCCCAAGCCTGCCAATGGTGAACTAGTTAAAAAATAAAAATAAAGCAGTGAGCAAGGTTAAGTGCAAAGCATGAAACATGTTCAAATATTAGAGTTTCTGTAAACTTCTACTTTACAAATAATTACCTCTGGGTTTTTTTCACCATCATCATCAGTTTCATTGAATATTGACTTTGCCTCAACTGACAAAATCTCATCTAACACAGATAACTCAGGCTCGCATGAATTTCTGGCAACATCAACCTCATTTGCTTCATCCTCTGACTTAACAGATTCTGATCCTGACAATTGACCTTTGTGGATGGCATCCACATTAGCCCAAAAAATAATGAAAGCAACCAGAATTAATAGACTGCTCACAGAATTTAGTCCTTAGTTCAAAGTTACTCTTGAATAGTTAATAACAACATATTATTCTTATCCTTATTATACATTCAACTTTACAACACAATCACTCTTATTCATCATCAAACATAATCGTTAATATGCAAATCTATTTTTGATGGTGAATGCTTGAGAAGGGAGGAAAAGAGCTAAGTATTCACCACAAGACTTATTACAGATGCATGGTTCATCAACCCTGCAGGCATTAGAAGCTAAAATCCAGTGTCCACACATAATCATGGAATGTATCACAGTTCTGGATAAATATACTCTATCTACTTGAATTTACTGAACTAACTTGATAATTTAGTTGCAATTTTAGTTGAGAACAAATTTCAAGCAATCTCAACCTAATAGAGCCAAGTCAACCAGAGCTCATTCGAAGGCAACAATTTTAACTCTGCTTATCTCTACCTGATTTCAAAAGCCCAAGCATGAATTTATTTATAGCTGTTAACCCATAAGATCCTAAAATAATAAACAGATGTAATCACGAATTCTACCAAAATTGCAGATTATACATACCATCTCCTTCAAATTCAACAACATCCTCTTCCCAGGCCTTCTTGAACAAGTCATCAAACTGCACGGACAACTCACTCTGCAAATCCTAAAAATACATAAAAATAAAAATAGCATTCGCCAACTTAAGATAAGAGATAATTATAATCTGGAAAAGATTCTATTGGCACACCTAACTGAGCCTACATATAAACAAATATATAGCAGGAACCACTGAGTTTTTAAACTCATAATTTACTTAATGAGTAATCACTAAATTCCAAAAAAAATTATAAATGTAAGAAAAGAAACACATGAGAACATGAGGGATAAGTAGGAAATTTGATAACATGATAACAACCTAAAAGCGTTTGAATTGTTTGTTTTAGGTTGGTTAGTTTGGGGTTGGGAGGAGGGGAACGGCATTGCGGCTAACAAAATCTAAAATAATCTAGTAACCAAAAAAGATTTTATAGGTAAAGATTACTTGAGAGAGAGAGAGAGAGAGAGAGAGAGAGAAGCACAGAAAAGCAAAACTGACCACCTTTTCATCTGACGTACTCTTCAGTGAACTTTGATCCTTATATACATTCCACGAGCATGGATAGGCCTTCCAAAAAAGCTCTTCTATCAATATTATGTTTTCTATAATACTCAATTTTACAACTTTCAATCTAAATGACAGTTAAATTAACCTTGAGATCACCAAGGCCCAATCCTTGCTTAAAGCTTGGAGGTACAGCCTGAGCAGAGCCACCAATCAGAAGTTCGTGAACCCACTCGCCATTAGAAGCACCATCAGGAAGAACTCTTTCTAGAGATTGGGAATCATCCAAGCCTCCTGGGCGAAAAGGGCGGTTGTTGATACTTCCCCGTACATAATCCTTTGCTGGTCCAGCCACGCGTGGCAAGGAACCAGACTCTTGAGCTCCTACTGTAAGTTCTGATACATCCACCTAAAATAAAATAATAAGAAAACTCTGTGCCACATTTAGAAGCACAAGGGTAACAAATGTATCACATTCTGCCAAATTCCCAAAAGTAAAAAATAAATCCAGGCGACTTAGATTCCAATAAGATTTAGATCCATAATTAAATTATATCACCACAATGCGGTTTTGATTTCCCCTGCTAAGCTAACTGTGTGGGTAAACACAAACATTGAGTGAACCCCATACCTGCACGGATTTAGGTTCCCATTGACCTCCTACCGACCCATTATTTTGGCGCCTAAATGGTAATTCCCATGTGGGAACCACAACTGTACGCGGCAATGATGGCTCCAAGGGTACATTTGCCTTATCAAACCAGTCAAAATCCCACTGCCTCCCAACCTTTTCTGGCGAAAATACTTCAGGGTCCAATCTTGGCAAGAGATACGTGTCCTCTATATACTCTTTTATTGATTCAGGCGTTTCCCTAGCAAATGCAGGCGGCTGCAACACAAAAAACAAGCATATATTAATGCTGGAAATGAGTTGGCTTGGCAGTCTCGTTTAGCAAATGGAAAACATTCTCCTACTCCCCTGTTTTGGAAACCAGTTTTGTATGGTTGCGAATTATGCATTCAATTCGACACCCTCTACAATACAATTCAGCTTCCAAATGCACTATACTAAAACCCATTACGCACGCATAATGGTATCCAATTAAGCAAATACACAAGTAGAAGAAAAAACCAAAAAGCAAAATTAGAACTAGGCCAAACCCTAGAAGCGGAAGAAAATTTGAAGCGGAATTGCTAGAAGTGGGAAAGCAGACTGACCAGAATGAAATCAGGGAGTGAATTGACGGGGTTGGAGCTCTCGTCGGTGGAAAGAGGCTCGAGCCTGAGGTGGCCACTGTGGCCGGAGAACCCGACTCGGAACGAGAGCCCATTTGCCGCAACAATCGGATCCATTTTTGGGGTTCCAGGGTTTTGAGTGGTTTTGGGGTTCAAAGCACTCTGCTTCTGGTTCTGATTCCGAAGGGGGTTTGAACTTTTCGCGGGTTTTGGGTGCCGTCACTATCACCACTTCACTCTGCCTTTGGTTAGTATCAATTGGGATTTTGTGATGAACCAGTCGGTGGCTCTGTTTAATTCCCAAATTCCCAACTTCAAATTTGCTCGCTTTTGCTCACTTTCTATTTCAAATAGGGAACCAGGTTCAAATCTTCAATGGTGCGTCCCCTGTTTTTGCTTTGGTTTATACTTTGTTGAATGTCCAATCTATTTGGACCCAACTGTTTACTATTGCAACCCAACTTTATTTTTGCCAATTTGTAATTCCAATCTAAATATATGAGCTTGTAGCTCGTAATATTGTTTTGTACCTCACATCTCGTAATATTGTTTGTCACTGAATTTTACATGAAATTTTAATATAATCAGTAAAACAAAACTTTAACCAAATTAATCATCATCTAACTGAAACTTTACATGAAAAATCAATTTGGTCACTAAAATTTACACAAAAGAGCATAGCATTTGCATGACTTTTGATTTAATTTTTTATTTAGTACCAAATTGGATTTTTATATGAAAGCGTATTTATTGTAAATTTGAGTAATATAATGACCAATTTAGTTATAAAAAATTCGTGACTAAATTAAAATTTCATATAAAACACAATAATATTTCAGGGGTGTTTGTTAGGGGCGGGCATCAATCCAGCCGAACCGATGAAACCGGCCGAATCAAACCGTAATTACCGATTTGATTTGGTTTTGACCAAGAAAAAGTCAAATGGTTTGAAAACCAAACCGGACAGTATATGGTTTGGTTTGGTTTGATTTTGAGCTTTTATAAACCGACTTAAACCAAACCGGACCGTTTATGTGTATATTTATTTATTTATATTTTATTTGATATGTGTAATACTCTAATTAATTAAAAACTATATATGAATATTTGAATTGAGCTATATTAGTTAGTGAAATATGAAGTTTTATGACTGTTTGTACAATATCTGGCCAAGCACCCCCCAAGTGCCCAAGGCTTCGAACAATCAGCATCGGCTACCGATGATATTGCCTCAAAGCAGCAAACGGTCGCTACAGACCCAGCATTGTCTACAATCGGTATCATCTACCGATTCTGCAAAATCAACCTCGAAGCACCCGCTCGAAATATCTAAGGACTTGTGTCAACCTCATAGGGCCCTCCCACGAGTCCCACATCGAAATTAAGTACCAAGAGCATACAAAATGCCCTCTATAAATAGGCCCCTTCATTACAATACAGGGATAAGACTTTTCAGCTTGACTTTTATACTAATATATTGTCAACAGCAAAAGCTCTTAGAAAACAAACTTACTTCGGCATCGGAGGGTATTAGGCTGGTTCCACACCGGTTCCATAGACCTTACGAGTCTTGGCTTCCTTCTATTCAGGATCTCCATCCAAGGACAGGAAGGATCACCATCTAGCACTCAATCGATCTCTAAAGATCGTCCACATCACTTGTAAGTTGCACTCATATCTATCTGTTCAAGTTTTAGTGCCAACAGATTGGCGTCGTCTGTGGGAAGCGATACAAAACACTATGTCGTTCTCCTTCACGAATGCTTTAGGCCCCCTTTTGAGCCATGCCCTCGGCATCTGCCTTCTGCCTTCAGCACCCTTGTATCATTCGGCGTGCGCGATGTCTTTACATCCCCCCAATGATTCGGCATCTGGCTTCGGCCTTCGGCACCCCATCATCATTCGCCGCGCGCGATGTCTTCACATCCCCCCAATGATTCGGCATCTGCCTTCGGCCTTCGGCACCCTATCATCATTCGGCGCACGCGATGTCTTCACATCCCCCCAATGATTTGGCATCGGCCTTTGGCACCCTTGCTCATTCGGCGCGTGCGATGCCTTCACATCCCCCCAATGATTCGGCATCTGCCTTCGGCACCCCATCATGATTCGGCGCGCACGATGTCTTCACATCCCTCCAATGATTTGGCATCAACCTTCGGCACCCTTGCATCATTCGGCGCGTTCGATGTCTTCACATCCCCCCAATGATTCGGCATCTGCCTTCGGCCTTCGGTACCCCATCATCATTCGGTGCGTGCGATGTCGTCACATCCCCCAATGATTCGACCATCAGCCTTCGGCCATCAGCTATCGGCCACCAGCCTTCGGCCATCAGCCTTCAGCCACCAGCACTCAATCGAATCAGCCATCGGCCTTTTCTCAAAGCCATGCCGAACGGCATCTTCCAGGAGACACTTCTCCAGCGCCTTTTCTCAAAGCCATGCCGAACGGCACCTTCTAGGAGACACTTCTCCCTTTCGGCGCCATCAGACTTCAGCCATCAGCCTTCGGCCATCAGCCATCAGCCATCGACCATGAGCCTTCGGCCATCAGCTATCGGCCATCAGCCTTCGGCCATCAGCCATCAGCCTGCTGAAGAATGAGCTGAAGAATAAACTGAAGCATTACTTGGTCAGTGCATTAATGACTACAAGTCCCCAATCAAGAAGTACCTCCTTAATTGGGAACTTGGGGGACTCCTGTTTGTACAATATCTGGCCAAGCACCCCCCAAGTGCCCAAGGCTTCGAACAATCAGCATCGGCTACCGATGATATTGCCTCAAAGCAGCAAACGGTCGCTACAGACCCAGCATTGTCTACAATCGGTATCATCTACCGATTCTGCAGAATCAACCTCGAAGCACCCGCTCGAAATATCTACGGACTCGTGTCAACCTCATAGGGCCCTCCCACGAGTCCCACATCGAAATTAAGTACCAAGAGCATACAAAATGCCCTCTATAAATAGGTCCCTTCATTACAATACAGGGATAAGACTTTTCAGCTTGACTTTTATACTAATATATTGTCAACAGCAAAAGCTCTTAGAAAACAAACTTACTTCGGCATCGGAGGGTATTAGGCTGGTTCCACACCGGTTCCATAGACCTTACGAGTCTTGGCTTCCTTCTATTCAGGATCTGCATCCAAGGACAGGAAGGATCACCATCTAGCACTCAATCGATCTCTAAAGATCGTCCACATCACTTGTAAGTTGCACTCATCTCTATCTGTTCAAGTTTTAGTGCCAACAATGACCTTTTGAGCTTTAGGTTGGTTTCGTACTCTAGAAAATGATTTATGTAAGAAGTAAGTTGTGAATTTGTTGGTTATAATTGATCTAATAATGTTGAAAAAAATGCAAAAAGAAAGAGAATTGGGCTTAGGCCCAAACCGGCTGAACCAAACCATCTTAAATTGGTTTGGATTGGTTTGATTTCCCTTATAACTTTTATCCAAACCGTTATATTTTAATTGGTTCGGCCGTGGTTTGGACGTAAAACCGATCCAATTTGGACCGTGCCCCCCCTAGTGTTTGTTATTCTATTCAAATAGGGGAACTCAAAAACTTTAATTTTTCTTAAAAATAAGAAGTTCTTAAATCTATTTTTAATATTCAAAAACTTGTTTGGTATGGAACTTGAAAACTGTTATCAAATCTTAAACATTTGAGAACTTGTGGATTGTTAAAACAAACTGAAAAAACATATATTTTTTATTTTTAATAATTGGGATGTCTTTTTTAGTTGTTGTTGAGTTTGAGTTTTAAAAAATAGGTATACCAAACAGGTTTTCTTTGTTTTAGACTCAAATTATATTTTTGAGTTTAAAAAGTTGGATTCAAGTTGAATATCAAACAGGTCCTAATTTTTTATAAAAATTTAGGTGGTAATAATTCAAATGAGTTTATAATGATCAATTAGTGATAGCCTAATTTGTAACATCCCACATCGACCAACGAAAAGGGAGAGATGTGCCTTATATACATGCCCACCTCTATCTAGCACGAGGTCTTTTGGGAGCTTACTGACTTCGAATTCATGAGAACTTCGAAGTTAAGCGAGTTGAGACTAGAGCAATCTCAGGATGGGTAACCCATTGGGAAGTTGCTTGTGAGTTCCTAGAAATAAAACCGTGAGGACAGAGAAGGGACCCAAAACAAACAATATCATGATACGGCAGAGCGATCCTGAATGTGACATAATTACATTTATTTTTCTAATACCAGAAAATGTCAGAATGAGAGAAATGAAAATAGATTATTATAAATAAACCCAATCCTAGATATGTATTTATAAAAAAACCCATGCACTATTTAAACATAGAAACACACCCAAAAGCAACCCCAAAATCAACAATTGTATATTTTTTGGGTGTGTTTATAAATGGGTCTTGTGTGTGTGTAATGATGGGTTTTGGGTGTGTTTATAAAGTGTTTTGGGTGTTGAATTTTTTTATAATTTCAACCCCCATTTTGGGTGTTTTAGTGAAACTCCCAAATGAAAACGTCGTCCTTCAAGTGGTATTACCCTTTTAAGACATTTTCACCGAACGGCCCAAAAAATAAAGAAGACCGTGTAACCAAAACATTCTCGCGGCACCACGTGGCATTAATTGGTGCCGTAGAGGACTCGTTTGATTGCCCAAAAAAAAAAAAAAAAAACCAGTGGCCACAGAAAATTAAATCGATTTTAATGTGGTTTGGCGTCCGGTGCTCCGGAAACTTCTCCTTCGTTCCTGCCTACATAAATCTTTCGCTATTCCCCAGTCCTCACGTTCAAGACATAGAGATTCGTACAGAGAAAGAGAGAGAGAGATTGAAGCGAAAGTGATTTTCCTCTGCCATCGACCGCTAAGGTAAGCGTTCCAGCTCGTTCTTCAGTGTGCTTTGTGTATCTTTTTGTTCAAAATATTTCTAAACAAATGACGTATATGAAGTCCTAATCGGTTTTAAAAATCAGAGTTTTATTTTGATGATTTGTTTATGACTAAGTTGATCGAACAATTGACAGTTGCAACAAAATTATCATACACTCTGGTTATGTTAATTATGGGTGCAAGAGTTGGAATTTTTTTGTTCTCTTAGATTTTTTTCCTTTTGTTCTTGTACGTGTTATTTCTAACACTAATCTGGGTTTGTTTTGTTGTTCTTGTTCTGTCTCAGATGTCGTACTCGAGAAGGTCAAGGTGTGTTTTTGTTTAGGAAAGACTCCTTTTTTTTTTTCTTCCTCCTGTTGTGTTGTTGATTATTGGCCATGTTGGTCGTAGTAATTCAATTTGGACTTGTTAAATTGCATTTTCTTTGGCAGGTATTCCTACTCTCCTTCTCCGAAACGATACAGTAGGTCCCTTTCGAGGTCTGTTTCGAGGTCGAGGTCAAGGTCAAGGTTGTGCTTTTAACCAAGCTGCTTCTCA